ATTTAACACTTGATACTATTCAACAAAAACAAAGTTGCGAAACAGATAATTCAGAAGGATCTCACCGTTAGAATGCTAAAGTTTTCCGAATTAGGATTACAAGAAATATAAAACAGTAATACAAGGGAAGAAAAACAGAAATCAAAAATGAAGATACAACTATATACCTCGCAATCATGTCCTCAAATTTCCTGTCTACTTTTGGTGTTTTCCCTTTTGAGGGATGAGGTGGAGTAGGCACGGTGTTCCTAAACATTTTAGAATCAATATATAAACGAAAGCCTGTTCGAGCACCAACAAAACTCCGGATGTTTAAGAAGATAGCTTATAGTGAAACACAAACAGTTATCAGAAATAGATGAGGAGTTTCCAAGATGACAAAGCATTGTGCAAAAATGGAGGTGCATGCAGAAGAAGTAACAACACACGTCACGCGCTGATTATAGCTCATTTCACCTAACGGAAGAACTTGGATCATCATCGTCGGAGACGCCAGTGCCGTTAATCAACCCTTTTGAAGGCTTGGCGCCTTTTACAGGCTTCCGCAATTTCGTCTTCAGCCAACTAGATTTATAAACTGGTTATACAAAGCGCACAGAGCTATCACGCGTGTCACACATGGGTTACATGAGATCTAGACTACTGATATCTATACGTGAATGAATGAGCAACAAAGTTGATGCGATAATACTATGGTATTCAGATAATAATCACAAGCACGTCAATTGAACAACCTACCCAAACTTTTGCTTCTGTTGAAGGGGACTTTCGTAGGGAGCTTCCTTATCGTGTGAGTGGGCTTTGCTCACCATATCATGCAACATAGACGCATCTCGTGCAATTTGAGAGTTCGCCTCATTGTACTGTCGAGCATTGTTGAAAAGTGTGGTTAGCTCCTGCATCAGCTGAACTGATGACTCGTACTGTAAAGGATGAAATCAACAACTGTAGGCAAACCAACGGCAGGGAAACATTCCGAAGGAATTAATTCATAAAGTTAGACTGAAGTAACAACTAAGATACTCTACCTTATTGTTCTCGATTTTCTCCCTAATCGTCTTCAGATCAATCGGATGTTTGATCACTTCGTAGTAGTCGGGATATTCTCTAACTGACGGCAACTCCATAAAGGCACCGGCGGGCCAATACATCCCTTCCTGTAACTGATGGCAGTTATTACACATTTCAGTGAAATGCAAAGATGTTGACACCTTGTGATTATAAATGAGATCCCAGAAAAGCATAAGTTTTTGTCGAAACCGTAGCATCAGCTCGTCCATGCTTTTACGGCCTGGACGCCCTGGTAAGGCAACATGTTCGGCGTTCATTCCCGTTGATATCGGTCGCATTTTCTTTTGCGATCGAAATTTCTTCTTCTCAGGAGGAGGGGTATCCTACAAAACCAAAACGTAGAGAAGGTAAAAATAGAAAGTTCTGGAAGTTCGCAAAGATGTGGACACCTACTTTTTCATCGGAATCTGTTTCCAGATCGACTTTAGGAGTTTTTGGAGTTTTTGGTACTTTGGTTTGAGGTGGTGTGGTAGGATGGAGCTTGAACTTTTTGTCATACAACTGAAAATTAATGTTTGAACATTGAAATAATCTATGCCTCAATGCAACTCTTAGTATCTTGCTTAGCATGAAATTCCACAAAATCACCGATAGGTCAAGACTAGGTTGTAGTTCCCGAGCTCTTCGAATCGTCAAATTCTGCAGTTTCTGAGCAGCTATGAAGATATCCGATGATTCCATGTTGTACTCACAGGCATTTTCAAACACCTTC